GGAAGGGAGGGGATACAAAGGAGAACAATATGTGTGGGGGTGATGGATATGTTCATTATATTGATTATGTTTATGGTTTCATGGTTATATGCATATGCCAAAACTTATCAAATTGTATAGTTTATATATGTGCAGTCTATTTTATGTCCATTATACTGTAACAAAGCTGTAAAAAAAAAAAATCCATGGATTCAAAATGATGAGCCTCCTTCTTCCTCCCCGCAAAAAAATCTCTTTGGAGGTTATTTGGGTGTGAACTCATAGTTCTTTTTCTACTGAGATATAATTTACATATAACATTGTATTAGTTTTAGGTGTACATGATTCTTAAATTTGGGTAAAGAATCCAGCATTTATGCTGCCATTTCTGTACAAACTATATTTCAGGGTAATCAGTTGGTGAAAGAATATCCTTTATAGAAAATCACAACAAATAAATGCACTGGGAAGAAAATAATTATGATATCCCTATTTTGCACCCCACAATGAAATAAGACAGCTATCATCAATGGTCCTTAAGTCATAAGGTGAAAGGTAGCTGAGGATCTTATCATAATGGAAAAATCAGGCCAACAACATTAGAATCCATTAATTAATCTTAACCAAAGGGACATTATGTACCTTCAGATATGTTACAATAGGAAATACACAGTACCATTTCTGAAATATTCTTACCAAAAAAAAACCAAAAAATTGAATCAAATCAAACTTTTAAATCTAACTACCAGATTAAATGAGAAACATTTTAAATGACACCATGAGGACACAATCAACCAAAAATATAAAATGCAAGGAATTCTTTAGAAAAAACAATCCAGTTTGCACAAAGAATAAATGGTATATTAAAAAGTGTATGGGGAGGATACTGTTTAGAATTAAAAAGCTTTAAAACTCTTATTACCCAAATATAATGTATACGGCTCTTTTGATCCACACTGTATTATAAAAAATATTTTAGACACAATTCAGGAAAATAGAATATGAAATACGTATTAGATATTAAGGAATTCCTGTTAATTCTATTAATTGTGATGATAATAATATTGCAGGTTTGTTTTTTCCTTTCTTCCCAGTCCTTATCTGTTAAAGATACATGATAAAGTATTTACAGGTGAAATTATGTAGTGTCTGGGATTTGCTTTCAAGTACTGCAGCACAGACACAGACACACACACACACCACACAAAATGACATGAGAAAGGTGAAAAAAACGGAAATATGTCGATAATTACTGAAGTTAGATCTTAGGAGCATGATGGTTCATTACACCATTCTCTCTACTTTAGTGTGTGTTTGAAATTTTCCATAATAAAAAGTTATTATTTTTTAACTAAAGAGTAAGCTAGACCAATTAATGTTTCCAACTCACCTCTGTCCTGCAGCGAGGGCGATGGGAGACTGTCCGTTGGGGGGCCGAGGCTCCTCGCATGTCTTCATCTCCACCTCAACCTTATCTAGACACTGAAATAAAAGCCATGGGGAGCTAAGCATCGGCACAAAAAGTTCACATAGCACGGCTGTGCCTTCTTCATCTCTGTGCTTCCATTGCCTAGCTGAGTGCCAGGCTCACAGTGGACACACATGTTCCTATAACACATGTGCAGGCATCTATCTATCTGGGCCCATTCGTGTCACTCCCATGGAACTTGGGGGGCAGGCAAAGAGAACTAATACTAACATACACTTATGCTATTTGCTGGGCCATGAGTAATAAAGTCCTTTGTTGAATGAACAAACGAACAAACTGAAATGCAAGGACTGGTCTCACCTCTCCCCTTCCATTTCCATTAGTGGCAGAACTCCATGAGAAGCATGGGATTAGCTCACAGCAGAAAATTCAAACATAAACCCAAGTTACAGAGATATTACTGTTCCTGGGGATTACAGATTTGGGATAAAGATATGAAACAATCAGTTCCTGAAGGACTTTCATCTGATAATTACCCAGTCGTCAACATGAACTAAACTTCTCATTTTTCTGCTTTCAGGATTTCAAGGGAAAACACGGAAATCTAAAGGTAGGTCTGGGCAGCAAAACTTCTTATAAAAAACAAAACAAAACCAACTCAGGACCCCTGTGACTTCTGCGTCTGCACTCATTCCTGTACTGCCCAGCAGTTCCAGAATAAGTCCAGACAACAGTCATTCTGCCTGAGAGAGCAGCTCCCACTACTCCAAAAGGGACAGCCTATCAGGACTCCTCCCCATCTTCTTTCTGATCTTTTAAAACCCTACCCCAGCCATCACCATTTGATTACTTGCAATCAAGAAAGGCCATTACCAAGCAAATTGGGTGTGTCTTCAACTTTGTCCACTGGATCTGAAAGAGAACAGCAAAGACTCAGGGCTGTGGAAGGCAGGCCTGCTGGCCAAAGAGCAACGGCACCCTGACCCGGTTCTTACCCGGATGGAGGCCCTGTTGCAATAGACCCGAGTGATGGCTAACCAGGTGGGCAGCTCCAGCACATTCTGCAGAACCTCTTCATCCAGCTCCAGGTTGGTCAGCTGACCTTCCCCTTTCAGGGTGCTCAGATTTATTTTGTCTGGGGAAAGATTCTTAGTGAACCTGAAAAGAGTAATGATAAGAAGCTATGATTTCCACGGGAATCTGCTAAGTGGGCAGTATAGCCAATAACACTTCTGAATTTAAAGAGAATGTTAAAGATCAAATGTAGTATAATGACCACACTGTACCTGTGCCATGTAAAATGTTAGCTGAGACCTATCATTCTACTCATGATTATGTAACCTTTCTACTCAGGAACCTATGATGGGGATTCTGGGGAAATGGCTATAGCAGTGGCAACACAGCCTTTTGATATTTTTGAATCCCCACCTAAAAACAAAGTAACTAGACAGCAACACAAAAAGCCCATGGATAACATTTAAAACAAAACTAGAAGATAAAGCATCCTTATAACCCCCCCATATACAAACAGATGGAGAAACAACATCAACAGCCACAAGACATGAGTGCCAAGTGCTGTGAGCAACTGTGCAGATCAACTTAGAGGGAAGCAAAAGGGCAGCTGATGGACCAGAGAACAAAACCCCAAGACAACCAAGTGCTAAATGAAAAACAGTGTGGGCCAATTGGAGAATAGCAATTGAAAATGGAGGGGTTCTGTCCGCTGCAAGGGGTCCCCAGTGAGGCCGAAAGGAGCTGGAGCAATCTAGCCCCATAAACTTAGAACTAACGGAGGCTCCTTCCCAAGACAGGGCCCCCACACTGAGGAACTGCTGGGAGACGAATCCAAATTGAGCAAGAGAGGGCTAACAAAAATGAAGAAAAGAGAGTCCAAATTAAAGTGGAGGGATGGAGGACAGGCCAGGAGCTTTCAGAAAGCAAGCCATTATATTTTTTAACACTACTTGAAATACCAGAAGAGGGAGCTCTACAAAGTTGGAATATGAAACAGTAACAGGCTAGTTATTAGCTTGTTAAGTAGGGTAAAACCCCACACCCTTACACAAAACTTTGATGTGATAAAAGAACACACAACCACCTATAGTTTTGCCAAAGGGATTGAACCTGAACCTCATCGTGCTATTGGGTCCAGCAGCTAATCTGCAGGAAATACAGGACAGAGGGAAACTGCTGAACTGCACCCTAAGTGTGCAACAGCAAAAGCCAAACGGTGGGAGCCTCGATGGGCCAGGTGGCCTGCAGCACACACACTCCACACAGGCCAGTCTTCTCACAATTCCACACTCACTGTCTCCAGTCCTCACTCCACCCACTGCCTTTCCTGGAGCACCCTCATCACCATCTGCTATTCAAGGCCCAATTTAAAGCTTCACACTGAGGCTTTCTTTCCCTAACTGATGCAACTCACACTAAACTCTTAGGATCTTAGGATGTTCTCTAATTCTCCTACGTGCAACCACCCTTGCACAATTAGGTGTAAGGTCATGGTTCCCTAACAGAATGCTGGGCCTACACA